ATGGACATATTAGAAGAGCTCTGTAAATTACCTGCTATATTCTCTCGTAAACGGATATTTACCTACTATTGGTTAATTCGTCATTTATCACAACAAAGTGTGCATATAATGTGGTAAATAAATAAGGAAACCATATAGTGCTTGTGTGAACATTAAATACTCTGAAACAATTACAAGTTACAAGTAACTCCAGATGATACTACAAGAGTTACAAGTGTGATAGTGATGAAGATAACAAAACTGTCAACAAGTCTCCATCACACGATTACATTACCGTGAACTAGTGGATTACTAATAATAACCAGCTCATAAGTAACTAGCACAGATGATTACCAGACATTCCACAACTTTGATCATAAGGTGTTACCAGGTGGGATATCAAACATCTAGGTTAGGCTCAAAGATCAAATTGTTCTCACCAAGCAAAAAGTAAATAAAATAAAGGAAGCCAAGACGCGGTGTGTACGTTTTCAAAATAACCAGAAAGAAAAAATTGGGTTTGTGTTTTCCCCAATAGCCACACCTTAATAATTCATATTAATTTTCTTGACCCAAGTACAGACAGGTGCAGGTGGTTTCCAGTTGTGTTTGAAAATATATTTATCCAAAAAGAACAATTTTTTTTTTTTGGGTGGGAGTATTTCCTTTGTATACTCTAAGGCAAATGCCCAATAGGTATGAAACAATGCTTCAAGCACATTTCTGTTTTTATCAAGCATTGGCAGGTTATCACACACACACACACACACACACACACACACACACACACACACACACACACACACACACACACACACACACACACAATTTGGCACCATGACTTCCTCCACCACTCACTGTCTTTTCAGCTTTCTCGATTACATATACCGCCATCTCGAGAAACAAAACGTCTGTAGCTGTCGCCTTCATTGATTTCACTAAAGCGTTCGACCTAGTCGACCACAATATAATCATCAACAAAGCTATTGACCTCGGGCTGAAGTCTTATACACTTCAGACTTCCTCAGTGACCGACGCCAAGCTGTACGCTTCCGAGGGCTGCCACCTTTCAGTCACTCACCTGTGGCGTCCCCAAAGGCACCAAGATGGGACCACTCTGCTTCCTTATGCTCATCAATGATGCCCAGAGAAAACCCCTGCTCGCTGGAAATATGTCGACGACTCCACCATTGGGATCAGCGTCAACAATTCTGCTCCCAACTATACCGCCCTTCAGGATTTATTGAACAGTCTCCCAAAACTGAGCCACCAACAACCATGTCACCATCAACCATACCAAGACCATGGTTATGCACATCAACCTCTCCTCCGACATTGTCCCTCCTTCCATTACTCTGGGTCCGAACACACTCCAGGTTGTAGATTCCACAGCTCCTCGGCGTCACCATAGACAACAAACTAAATGGAAACCACACGTCAGTGAAGTTATCAAATCCTCCAGTTTCCGTCTCCACCTCCTCCGCCGACTCAAGTCCTCGAGTTCCTGCACAAGCTCCTCAGTGTTTACACAACATTCATACTTCCCAAGCTCACCTATGCCTCCCCACCTGGTCTTCCTCCTCAATGCCACACAACGTAAACACCTAGAAAAATTAAAGAGGGGCATGCAAGATTATTCTCTCCTTCCTACTCCACATATCAAGCTCAACACACTGACCCTTTCGACTCTCACTGACCATCACCACGACCTCATCTGCAAATTTGGTGGCTTCTACACCATCCCCGACACCGGCTTCTACTACCACCTGAGATCCCTAGTCCGAGAATTGCTGTTCGACACCACAACCGCATCCAGCCCATACGTGCACGAACTGATCGCTATAAGAACAGCCCAGTCCCAACCATTGTAAAATTATCAATAACTTGTAATAAATCAGTGTATTCACTCCCAGTAAACACTACTCCTTGCACTGTCACTATGTTGAAATGAACTGTAGTTTGAGCTTTTCCCCATCTAGTTATTATATGTCTTATTTGTGTCACTTATGTTACTTGTATATTATTTGTAATTCGTAACCCATTCCCCAAATATGTAACTGTATATTTTCAGCCTTCTGGCTGCCAAGCTCTTTCAATAAACCGTTAATTATTATTATTATTATTATTACACGGAGACAATATTTTACACAAAACGGCAAACTTGGCATCTCTGCTCTCATCAACACAGGTCACGTGACAAATTTTACAGCTGAAGATGACATATCATGACCAATAGGAGAGGCAGAGGAGATAGATATATAGATAGATAGATAGATAGATAGATAGATAGATAGAGGATTGTTATATATTTTTCCCAGCTGCTCAAACCATTTCCCTCCACATACATATAAAAACATTAACACTACTGTAGTTCTGTGTCTCAATGATAAAACACACACACAACATCCTGTAATTCTTCCAAAGCGATGCCGTGGCCTACATTGTATTACCTACTGTACATGGCCAGTTAATATTAAACCTAATGTTTATTGACCATTATCTCCTGCGTTCGGGGAAAATACACGGATTATTCTAACTCTTTTGTGTATTTAAGTATATACGTTTATATACACATTTGTATTTATTCCACCGTCCCTGCAGTCTTGACACAACAACTGACGATTAAAAATTAATGAGTTCCTAACTTTAAACATTTAATGTGAAACTAACCAACAAAGCTACAGCATAAGAGCAAGATATACTAATGAAGAAAAACCAAAATAAAATGTATATTCAACTCATAAAAGTTCAGTATGAGCTCCTTTTGTGGTTCTGCTGACATCAAAACGGTATATTTTTTGTAGCATTATAATGAACTTTTCTTTCACCCTCACATATCCATTCCTTCAAAATGTCCAAAGTTCTGGCAGTGGTGAAATAAAAAATCATCTTTAACATAATTTATAATCACCAGGTAAAATGATAGGAGTGTTTGCAATGTACATCATATATCCTGTTCAGAACTGTCACCTCTCACATCACTAAACCACAGACATGTTAAATAGATTTCTATATATTATTTGCAAGGTTTGAATTCTGATCCCAAATCTATGCTGTCAAATTCATTTCAACTTTCATAGGACAAATTATAAAACATATCGTACTACTCATTCACGTCACATAGTGTAAAACATATCGTACTGCTCATTCACGCCACATAGTGTAAAACATATCGTACTACTAATTCACATCACATAGCATAAAATTCCTCATATATCCAAGTTACATAGCAATGATTCCTAATTACTTGTCATCAACTATCATGCAAATTTACGTTGCATTAACCAGATTAAAACTTACAGAGCAATAAATTCTAACTTACATAGCACCAATACCAAATTCACATAGCATCAATACCAAACTTACATAACATCAACACCAAACTTACATAGCATCAATACCACTTTACATAGCACCAATACCACTTCACATAGCACAGATGGGACCAATTATAACCCGGATTTATGTAGGCTAAACCTCGGCGATACTAGAGAAAAATCGACCTCCTGAATCCTATATTACCTTAAATGGACCATAAAAACTTCGTGAATATGCAAATTGTTAATTAATTATGCTTTTGTTTAATTTAATTCAATGTTTATGTATCTAATTATGCTCCTAATGGCAGGAGTGTTATAGTAGCGTAGTATTATATGGAATGGGTCTATTGAACCCTTATAGCTCACCATTAGTTAGTGTTATGGATGTTTTTTTAACCCCTTATTCACCATTACCCCTTTAGTAATGGGTCATCTCCCCCTTAGGTAACCTGGTGGTGCTGGTGGTCATGTGGGTCCACCCTAGGATGCGCTCCACCACCAACTTCTTCCTCACCAACCTGGCCATCGCTGACTTCTGCGTCACCGTATTCTGCGTCTACCAGAACCTCTCACAGTACCTGGCGCAGACGTGAGTATACCTCCAAAATCTCTTCCAGTACCTCCAGAACCTCTCACGGTAGCCCCAGAACCTCTCACAGTACCTCCAGAACCTCTCACGGTAGCCCCAGAACCTCTCACAGTACCTCCAGAACCTCTCCCAGTACAACCAAATCCCCCCAGTATAACTATTGTGGGCTGGTTTAATGATGAATTCAACACACTTTACTGTGGTTAGGTTAGGTGTGGTTTGGTTAGGTTAGGTTTGGTTAGGTTAGGTTAGGTTAAGTTTGATTAGGTTAGGTTAGGTTAGGTGTGGTTTGGTTAGGTTAGGTTAGACTAGGTTAAGTTTGATTAGGTTAGGTTAGGGTAGGTTATGTTATGTTGGATTAGGGTAGGCTAGATTAGATTAGGTTTATTTAGGCTAGGTTACTTTAGGGTAAAAATTTCTAACCAACTAATAGCTAAACACTTCCTTACAAATAAATGCAATAAATAATAAAAATACAATAATTATCTTCTGTACCACATACGTAATAAAGACATCAATAAGGTTACAGTATGTATGTAAAGTTCACTGAAGTCATTTGCTCGCCTTTAATGACAAGAGCGTGGGAGTGTTAGCAATGAATACCTGCCTTAATACATTGCAAGGTCTAGCTTAGTCGTGTGTGTGTGGGAGAAAACACACACACACACACACACACACACACACACACACGCGCGCGCACACACACACACACACACACACACACACTCACTCCACACACACACTCAACACATACAAAAACAAACTACACACACACACACACACACACACACACACACACACACACACACCACGCGCACACACACACGCACGCGCGCACACACACACACACACACACACACACACACACACACATATCATTAGCCCTCCTCACCCCTTTAATTCAACTCTATAAATGACTCCACGATGCCGAGAGAACAAGAAATAAAGGACCTTTTATTTTAGAAACTCAATTTTCCCCGTGTTGATTTTGACGCGATGTGTGTGTGTGTAATAATAATAATAATAATTAACGGTTTATTGAATTGAAAGATATAATGTGCCGCAAAGGAAAATATACAGTTACATAATTGGGGAATGGGTCTTTGATTTACAAATAATATACAAGTAACATAAGGATACAAAATATAGATATATAATAATTAGTGGGGAGAAGCTCAGATCAGGCACCCCAACATAGTGACAGCAAAAATAAGATTGACTGGGCGTGAATACACTGGCTGATTACAAGTTATTTATAAATTTTACAATGGTTGGGACTAGGCTATTCTGAGAAGGATCAGTCTGTGCTCAAGGGCTGGATGCGGTTGTGGTGTCGAAACAGCAATTGGACGAGGGATTTTGCAGTAGTAGGAGCCGGTGTTGAGGATGGCAGAAGCCACCAAATTTGGTAGATGAGGTCGGGTGATGGTCAGTGGAGCCGAGGGTCAGTGTGTTGAGCCCTTCTTGATATGTGGAGGGAAGGGAGAGAATAATCTGCATGCCCTCTTTTTGCACCTTTTCTAGGTGTTTACGTTGTGTGGGTATTTAGGGAGGAAGACCAGGTAGGGGAGGCATAGGGTGAGCTTGGGAAGTGCGAATGCGAGGAACACTGAGGAGCTCGCGCAGGAACCCGGAGGACTTGAGTTGGCGGAGGAGGTGGAGATGGAAACTGGAGGATTTGACAACTTCACTGACGTGGTTTCCAATTTAGATTGTTGTTTGCGGTGACGCTGAGGAGCTTAGTGGAATCTACAACCTGGAGTGTAAGTTGGGACCTAAAGTAATGGAAGGGTGGGACAACGTCGGGTGAGGCTGATGGTGACGGTTGTTGGTGACCCAGTGTTGGAGACTGTTCAATGAATCCTGAAGGGAAGTGTACAGTCGGGAGCAGAATTCATGACACTGATCCCAATGGTGAAGTCGTCGACATATTTCCAGCGAGCAGGGCTCTCTAGGGCATCATTGATACATAAGGAAGCCATAGTGGTCTCATCTTGTGCTCCTTAGGGACGCCACAGGTGAGTGACTGAAAGGTGGAGACAGCCTCGGAAGCGTACAGCTTGGACGTCGATTACTGAGGAAGTCTTGCCATGGTATGAGATTTCTTCGAAAACCCAAGGTCGATATCTTTGTTGATGAATAAATTGTGGTCGACTAGGTCAAATGCCTTGGTGAAGTCAATGAAGGCGACAGCCAAGACGTTTTTCGTTTTTCCAGATGGCGGTGTATGTAGTAGGCCGGAGAAAGCCGGGACAATAGAGGAGAGGGAGGAAGTTTCTATTACCAAATTGCTGAGGATCTACGGTTTGCAACATCAAAGGCAGGCCCAGTCAAACACAAAACTTTCATGTAGATTAAGGTTGGGTATTGGGGTGATTGCAATGGAATGCAGCTGATTTAAGGATTGTGGGCCGGGTTGATTTCAGCACTGGTGACACATATAAAGCCTCTAACTGGGGCTAAGAATTGGCTTGGACTGAGGGAAGCATTGATGATGGAGCAGAAGGGATGAATAGCTTCGGGCAGAATCCCTTGAAGAGTTTCATTTGTGTCAATGGGGGTGGTGGAACGTTTTAACTTCAGTTTGTCCAGACGTTTTGCATATCTCAAATTCTTCTACTAAGTCAGCGGGAAAAGGGGCTGGTAGGTAAGCAGGGAGATCGGTTGTGCTCGCCGGGGAGCGTCTGGCATATAGTGTAGCGAAATGGTTATTTGATTGCTCAGCTGAGTCAACATTAGTGAGATGGGCCAACTAAGGGAGGTGTGTCTATTGTTTAGTCCACAGAGTTCTTGCTTACTATATACCAATTGACTGATGTTGGTCTGCTTCAGGTGTTGCAATTTAGTTGGGGTAGTGAGACTTTTTGCAGTGCGTATTTCTGCGGATGACTCCTGGTTGCGAAGGAACCTAGAAGTGCTGTGGTCTTTGAGAGAAAAAGGTTCTGTCTCTCTGTTGTGATCCGAGTGTGTGATCCAGGCAAGTGGTGCTGGTGAGATCTGACGAACTTCTCAGGAAGAAGTGGTGGTGAGCTTCCGTTTAGGTAAGCAATATGCATTTGGTGTCCACGTCATCCACACTAAGTAATTTCCAGTCCAGGGATGAGGGATGGTGAACTATCCACTGCCCGAAGAGACGCACTGCAGAGTCAGTAATCGGCCTGTAGGTCTTGGATGTAGGCTTCTGTAATTGATTGGGAGTGTGTGTGTGTGGGGGTCTGTATGTCCATAAACTGGTTAAACAATCATCATTAAGGGGTTAATATCTTGAAAGGGTTAAACCAGCAGCATCAACTGGTTGAATAATAATAATTATCAAGGGGTGAAACCATCATTATCAAGAGGTTAAACCGACATAATCAAAAGGTTCAACCCATCATCATGAGGGGTTAAACCATCATCATTAAGGGGTTAAACCATCATCATTAAGGAGTCAAGAGTTAACTCATCTTCCTCAGAGAATCAAGTGGTTAAACGAACATCATCAAGGGGTAAAACCATCATCTTCAATTGGTTAAACCATCTTCCTCAATGAGTCAATGGGTTAAATCAACCGCCAGGTGGTGTTGAACGTTGGTGGCGATAACACTAACCCGCTCTTCCTCCCCCAGGTGGATCTTCGGTGACTTCCTGTGTAAGATGTACAACTTCGTCAACTACCTGAGCTACACCGCCTCCGTCATGATCCTGGTGGTCAACTGTGTCGAGAGATACGTGGCCATTATGTGTCCCTTCAGAGCCAAGACACTCCTCAGTCACCGCAACCTGGTGGTACGTCATCCTAGGGCCAGGTCAGGTCAAGTCAGGGTGGTAGGTTGTGCTGGGGCAGGTCATTATGGGTAATGGATGGTTAGTTCTGGGTAGTTAAGGTGTGATCTGGGTAGTCAGGTCACACAAACACTCACACACGTAGTAGAAAAGTGTAAAGTATTTAGCCTAGGAGATGTAAACCGAGAAACCAGATATCGATATCAGATGCGCAACGTTGATATAGAGAAACTGACTCAGAGAAAATTTTCATGTAATGATGAGAAGGAACCTGAAACCATGACAATAATACGTATTTGCTCGAAACAAGGATAACAAGGTACTTTTAAGAAAAGGAGTACTAGTACAAAACCTCATTTGGATTACGCGGTTCAGTTTTGGTTACCGTACTATAGAATTGATATCGAATCTCTAGAAAGCATTCAGTGGAGATTGGTAAGGCTAATCCCGGGCATTAGGAACCTTGAGTAATAGACAGATTAAAGCATCTGAATTTGCACTCCCTCGAGAGACGTAGAGTGAGGGACAATGTGATCGGGGTGTATAAATGGTAGTCATTGCTAAACAAATGCGATATAACAAAGGTATTAAACTATCCAACCAGGAGCGAACCCGCAGCAATTGTTTTAAAATAGACAAATTTAGATTTTGGGTGCGAGATAGGTAAACATTGGTTTGGAAATAGAGTAGCGGATGAGTGGAACAAGTTACCAAACTCCATCATTAACTGGAACACGCTGGGAAGCTTTAAACATACTGTAGGTTAGACAGATACACCGGTATATGAGCGATATGGGTTGGGTGTAAACGGGGAGGCCGAGAGTCTTGGAGCAATAGGCACGCTGCAGTTTCCTCCATTCTTATGTAAAGTAAAAGACATACGAGTACACTAGTATTCTCCAGGCTCAAGGGTCGAGGTCATCTGATACCTATCACTTTGACATCTGACTTTTCACCCACGAACATTGACCTCAACCACTCCAATGACCCAACACAAGTCATAAGATGCATTACACACGGGTAGGAAAAAATAATTTTCTTTGAGGGTTAAGTCGGCCAGAAAGGTGACGGCGACCTCAGATTTATATGGAGACACACACACACACACACACACACACACACACACACACACACACCAACCTAGTTCTGGTAATTAAAAGACCATATCTTTGATCACATCATTTCCTAATTATTAATAACCCACTTTTTCCGATCCCTGTCATTCACCAAGTCTTGTCTAGTGACCCAACACTGTTGATCTTTTTGATGCGTTGGAACCAAATATTAAAGGTATATTTCTCAGTAATAAAACAGAACACCCTCTCATAACCATTAACTTAGGTCTTGGTGTGTGTGTGTGTGTGTGTGTGTGTGTGTGTGTGTGTGTGTGTGTGTGTGTGTGTGTGTAAGGAGGCGTATGTGTGTGTGTGTGCGTGTGCGTGTGGGGAGGCTGTAATTAATTAGTGCGTGTTGAGAGTACAAGGTGGTCGGGGGAAATTTAGAACATGAGATCCTTGGGATTACAGGGCTCGTGAGGGATGATTGATGAGAGTAAGGTGGAGGAGAGGGGTACATACATGTTAGTTAGGGATTGAGAAGGAGGAGGTGGAGGTGAGGGAAGGAACGAGAGGGGGAATGTGTGTGTGTGTGTATGTGTGTGTATGTGTATGTGTGTGTGTGTGTGTGTGTGTGTGTGTGTGTGTATGTGTGTGTGTGTGTGTGTGTGTGTGTGTGTGTGTGTGTGTGTATAATAATAATAATAATTAACGGTTTATTGAAAGAGCTTGGCAGCCAGAAGGCTGAAAATATACAGTTACATATTTGGGGAATGGGTTACGAATTACAAATAATATACAAGTGACATAAGTGACACAAATAAGACATATAATAACTAGATGGGGAAAAAGCTCAAACTACAGTTCATTTCAACATAGTGACAGTGTAAGGAGCAGTGTTTACTGGGAGGAAACACACTGATTTATTACAAGTGTGTGTGTGTGTGTGTTGTGTGTGTGTGTGTGTGTATGTGTGTGTGTGTGTGTGTGTGTGTGTGTGTGTGTGTGTGTGTGTGTGTGTGTGTGTGTGTGTGTGTGTGTGTGTGTGTGTGTGTGTGTGTGTGTGTGTGTGTGTGTGTGTGTGTGTGTGTGTGTGTGTGTGTGTGTGTGTGTGTGTGTGTGTGTGTGTGTGTGTGTGTGTGTGTGTGTGTGTGTGTGTGTGTGTGTGTGTGTGTGTGTGTGTGTGTGCATGTGTGTGTGTGTGTGTGTGTGTGTGTGTGTGTGTGTGTGATACTGTACAAGGGTACAAGGTAGAAACAACAGATCCCGCAGCAGAGAACAACAGAGCCTACTAAGCTACTGTAATCTTATCGTGCTGTGTTGTTGGTCTCGTTTATGATGACCGAGTGTTAGGTTGCAGGGAGTGTTTATAATGACTGATGGCTGTGTTGTATTGCAAATGCACTACAGGAGGATTTAAATAAACTGCAGGAGTGGTCAGAAAAATGGCAAATGAAATTCAACACCAGCAAGTGCAGCGTACTTAATATTGAAAGAACAAATACTGTCAATGTATACAGCATTAACAAATAAGGATACTCATTCGGACCTACGGCCTAGAAAACAAGTGTTAATGTTCAAAATAAGGCAAACAGACTATTAGGTTTTATATCTAGAAGCAAGTAATAAGAGTGCGTAGGTTATATTACAACTATATCTTGCGCTAGTCAGGCCGCACCTCGATTATGCGGTTCAATTCTGGTGCCCTTATTATAGAATGGATATCAATTCACTAGAGTCGGTGCAGCGAAGAATGACAAATATGATTCCTGGACTTAGAAACCTTCCATATCAAGATAGATTAAAGAAATTAAACTTGCAATCCCTAGAAAGACAAAGAGTGCGGGGAGATATGATAGAAGTATTTAAGTGGGTGAAAGGAATCAATAAAGGGGATATAAAGTTCTTATAATATCCGAGCAGGATAGGACTCGTAGCAACGGATTTAAGTTGGTTAAGTTTAGGTTTAGGGGGGGAGATAGGAAGGACTGGTTCACAAATAGGGTGGTGGACGGGTGGAACAAGCTTAACAACTTTGTAGTAAGTGCTGGAACGCTGGAAAGTTTTAAAAGGAGGCTAGATAGATTCATGGCTGATAGAGAGTGGTAGTAACTCTCGACAGGAGCTGCCATGCACAGGCCAACTGGCCTATTGCAGACTCCTTATTTTCTTATATTCTTATGTTCTTATGTTGCAGGCATCGTTGGTGGTGGTGTGGGTGGGCAGCGGGGTGTACTGCTGTCCTCGGCTGCTGTACTTCAGGGCAGCGTCACACGAGCTGCCTGGGGCTCGCTACACCGAGGTCATCTGCCTGGCCGACCGAGAGCTGTACGACTCCCGCACGTTCGACACCATTAACTTCGTGTTGCTGTACGTGATGCCTCTTTCCGTCATGTCGCTCCTCTACTGGCGCATCGGCAGCTACCTGTGGATCAACGGCCGCCAGGTGGAGGTGGCCAGGAGGGCGAGGAACTCCCCAGTGTCGGGTAATGGTGTTATCCTGCCCTCACACCAGTTTCCTTGTTGTATTTCAGCCCTCAAGGAGGAGATGACCAAGGAACACAACTGTAAGCTGAATGAGGACACTAAGAGAGGCGGGACGGCGCAGCAAAGTGCAGGAGGAGGGTCAAGTTCCTCTCACGGCTGCTACTCCGCCTTGGGCCGCAGGCGTCGCTGGAGACAAACCGGTGAGATGCCTATCGGACCTTACCACACAGAGCGTCTCCTGAGGACCTGGAGGAAGGTGGTGAAGCTCCTGGTGGCGGTGGTGCTCTGTTTCGCCATCTGTAACTTGCCATTCCACTTGAGGAAAATGTTGACGTATTACCACCAGGGCTACAACGCCACCACGGACGCCGCCCTCATACCCCATCTCCAACCTCCTCATGTACCTCAACTCCCCAACCCCATCGTCTACTCCTTCATGTCGCACAACTTCCGCGCCTGTGTGAGGGACGTCCTGACTCGTTACACCGCCGAAGACCTCGACACCCCTCTGGTCCCCTTCCCGCCCCCACCTCCACACACACACGCCCTCCCCCGCCACGCCTCCACGCCCGCCCCACGCCCATGTCCCTACCACCTGTCAGGGGTTCTTGCAGCGCCTACAATTGGTGATGCAACACAAGTGACATAATACTACCACCACAACACACCAACCGCAACACTACAACTATAACACCCCACTTTTAACACCAGTATCACAACACAACTCTACCACAACTATGTACTGGAGTGGGGGGGGCACATCATGCATAACAAATGAATAATCGTTACTACAGGTTCCATCTATCTTAAACAATGCCTGGTACTAGACATACAGACTTTTTGGATCGCGTGACAAAACACTATATCAATATTTTACTGTCCTGACATATGTAAGGAGGTGGGTTAAGGAAAACAGATGGAGACAGTTGTACACACACACACACACACACACACACACACACACACACACACACACACACACACACACACACACACACACACACACACAGCACAGCACAATCAGACACTCTATACACAAGCTGTCGAGTATTTCACGCGAGGTAATGAGAAGGAAGGAATCGAGGACAGAAGGAAGGAAGGAAGGAAGGGAGGAAAGAAAGGAGGCAGCAGAAGTAGATAATGGACACAGTATATTTCACCCGCCTCCTAAATCAAAAGACGACACTAAAACGCACAACTTTTGTAAATACAACAACAGTATCATTAAGGGGTGAAGTCGGGAGCTTAACGTTGGCACGACACTACTTATGGTACCTGTGTGTGTGTGTGTGTGTGTGTGTGTGTGTGTGTGTGTGTGTGTGAACAACCCCATCTAATGTTTGTGAATGATTAAATGTGAATACTACTGTTTTTATTAATTATTACAAAGACAGTATAATATACATATATCTACTTTTCGTTTGTAAAAAGAACAGACTGTGATCACCTGAAAATCGCCTATTTCACTCTTACGGTACCTTGAAGGTTAAGAATATGCTAGGGTGCCTAAACTTCAGGTGCTCCTAGGAATGTACTATGGACTCAACGAAATGTTACCCATGTAAAATATATATTGATGTAACAACCTACATGTGTGACCCCTGACTCATATGGTATACACAAAGATGTTTACATTGACCAGCTGACTTTCGCCGTCGCACTGACGGAGTTTTTATTATTGTTATCTATTATCGATCGGTGGAGAACAAATCGCCGTATCTTGTAATGTTTTCTAATGTTTTCCATGAATCTTAGCGAAGGTTCTTTAAAGAGTCGTATAAGGGTTTGAATCTGCTTTAGGACTGTTTTGTTTTTAACCTGACGGCGTATGTATGTAACAGTGATGATCATACACATTACAAACGTTTTCCTCACACACACACACACACACACACACACAATAATTAAACCTCTAATACGACCCTTTATAAACCCATTAATGGTTTTACCGATTTTTTCGCCTGTGCTCTAACGGTTTATAATGGTTCTCCAGGGACACCAAACAAGAGACCAATAAAATCTGGTGGTTTCTAATAATCCCTAAAGGTTTATACATAAACTATGCCGATTTCTAATGCTTTCAACTGCCCCAGATTTCAAGGAGGTAAAAAACACACACTACAAACCACTTTAATCCAATCTGGTGATGTCTCAATAGTCCCTAAAGGATATCAAATGGTTTCTACTAATTCATAATAGTTCAAAATGGTTCTAATTGATATGACTCTGACTCGTATGGGACAAATATGAGACTTTAGTCCGGTACCAAATGGAAACACAAGTGGGCGTTAAAAGTTATATAAATACAAAAAATAAAGAAAAAATACCCGTTTATGTTGGGTTTTCAGACACACCCGTAATCTTATGTGATATCACTATCAACTGTTATCATATCATAGTATAAATTATTATGTTTTACAGTTGTTCTTCCTATATACTAAGAACTATTTCGATTACCTGAAGAAGAATTAGACACCTAAGCTCACTGTATTCATTGCACTTGGTCATTCAACACCCTAATGCTACCTGTGGTGGGGTGGTGAGATGGTTAAGTTAGTTTAGGTTAGGTTAATTTAGATTGAGTTAGATAAGCGTTACCTTTTAGTTAGGTTAGGTTAGGTTACATTACATTAGGTTAGGTTAGCGTTAGGTTAGCGTGAGGTTAGGTCAGCGTTAGGTTAGGTCAGCGTTAGGTTAGGTTAGTTACGTGTAGATTAGATTAGGTTAGTTTAGATTACGTTAGGTTGATTAATCGCATGTATTATAAACTGCTGTGTTTAATCTTCATGGATCCAGAAATTACCTTCACCTGAACAACGTGTTCTTTATGTTCAAACAATGTATCAATAATAAAAAGATATATTTGTCATGTTTGTTTGTTGTATATCCCTCACTTTAGTCAAGACATCTTCAGAGGCAACTAACCTAACCTAACCTAATGTAACCTAACTATTTAAACTAACCTAGCTATTTAACCAAACCTAACCTAACCTAACCTGACCCAACCTAACCAAACCTCGCTACTTAATCTACCCTAGCCTAGTTACTCAACCTCACCTAACCTAATCGTCAAACTTTCTAAATTGACAACTTAACCAAACAAAACTACCTAACCTAACCTAACCAATATTTAACCTAACCATACCCTTTAACTTTATCTAACCAAATTTAACCTCACCTAACTTAACCAAACTTAAACTAACGCCACCATAACACAGTACTACCAACGCCACCATAACATAGTACTACCAACGCCACCATAACATAGTACTACCAACGCCACCATAACATAGTACTACCAACGCCACCATAACATAGTACTACCAACGCCACCATAACATAGTACTACCAACGCCACCATAACATAGTACTACCAACGCCACCATAACATAGTACTACCAACGCCACCATAACATAGTACTACCAACGCCACCATAACATAGTAATACCAACGCCACCATAACACAGTACTACCAACGCCACCATAACATAGTACTACCAACGCCACCATAACATAGTACTACCAACGCCACCATAACATAGTACTACCAACGCCACCATAACATAGTACTACCGCCACCATAACATAGTACTACCAACGCCACCATAACATAGCACTACCAACGCCACCATACATAACATAGTACTACCAACGCCACCATAACATAGTACTAACCGCCACCATAACATAGTACTACCAACGCCACCATAACATAGTACACTACCAACGCCACCATAACATAGTACTACCAACGCCACCATAACATAGTACTACCAACGCCACCATAACATAGTACTACCAACGCCACCATAACATAGTACTACCGCCACCATAACATAGTACTACCAACGCCACCATAACATATAACTACCAACGCCACCATAACATAGACTACCAACGCCACCATAACATAGACTACCAACGCCACCATAACATAGCACTACCAACGCCACCATAACATAGTACTACCAACGCCACCATAACATAGTACTACCAACGCCACCATAACATAGTACTCACCAACCACCATAACATAGTACTACCAACGCCACCATAACATAGTACTACCGCCACCATAACATAGTACTACCAACGCCACCATAACATAGTACTACCAACGCCACCATAACATAGTACTACCAACGCCACCATAACATAGTACTACCGCCACCATAACATAGTACTACCAACGCCACCATAACATAGCACTACCAACGCCACCATAACACAGTACTACCAACGCCACCATAACATAGTATTACCAACGCCACCATAACATACCACTACCAACGCCACCATAACATAGCACTACCAACGCCACCATAACATAGCACTACCAACGCCACCATAACATAGTACTACCAACGCCACCATAACACAGTACTACCAACGCTAAAGCTTCAGAAGGTGAAATAAACAAGTAAAGTTGCCATACCGTCATCTGAGTTGCCACTCGGCGTGTGTGTGTGTGTGTGTGTGTGTGTGTGTGTATCGGATCAGATGAGCATCTCAAGCCTTTGGCAGACTCCGAAACCGTGTCTTCTGCTGTAGAGTTGAAATTATCCACAAAGTTACACGTATATCGAGCAGTGGTCCTCCCCACCCTGCTATATGGCAGTGAGACACGGAGGACATACAGAAGGCACCTCAAGGCACTTGAAAACTTTCACCAACATAGTCTACATTCCATCCTCCGAGTTCGCTGGGAAGACAAGAGAACAAATGCCAATATTCTTGCTGACACCAACTGTAGGAGCATCGAGGCTACCATTATCCATGAACAACTACGCTGAACTGGCCGTCTTACCCGCATGGACGACAGTAGACTGCCAAAGCAGCTACTTTAGTCACCTAACGAATAGTAAACGTAACGCCGGCGGGCAACTGAAAGGGTATAAGGATAGTCTTAAGAAAGACCTGAAAAAGTGTCAATATCGACCCCCCCACCTGGGAGACGATTACTCCACATCGTAACGCTTGGAGGATCACCACACAAGAAGGTGTCAATACTTTCGAGTTAGTCCGACTACATAACGAGGGACAAAGCGCCAACGCTGGAAAGACGCTGTCGCCGCCCCTCCCACACTAGTTGTAGCCCCCCACATGTGCAACATCTGTGAACGACCCTGCCGGTCCCGTATCGGCCTCTTTAGTCACCTCAGAACTCACCAACGTAGGTGACTCATTTCATTGTACCATAGCTGGATGATCGTCATATGCGATTCCGAGTGACAGCAAAGTAGTAGTAGTGTATGTGTGTGTGTCTTGTGTGTGTGTGTGTGTGTGTGTGTGTGTGTGTGTGTGTGTGTGTGTGTGTATGTGTGTGTGTGTGTGTGTATGTGTGTGTGTGTGTGTGTGTGTGTGTGTGTGTATGTATGTGTGTGTGTGTGTGTGTGTGTGTGTGTAGACAGTCTATCACACGCACAAGAAATACAATTAGCCACGTCCACAAGTTGTCGGCGGCGGTCAAGACCAACTTTAGCTAATACAAGTGTTGACAAGTTGGCCGGCAGCTGGTGAGAGGGAAGGAGAGAGGAGGAGAGGAGAGGAGAGGGAGGAGAGGAGAGAGAGAGGAGAGGGAGGAAGGAGGAAAGGGGTGGAGCAGGGGAAGGAGGGAAGGAATTAGGGGACGGAGAGAGAAGTTGTGA